GGGCGTTGCGGCCGCTGCGCTCCGGGGCCGGCGGCGGCTGCGTTGCGTCCGGGTCCCCGCCGGGTTGCGGAGGCGGGGGGAACCGGCCGGGGGGGAGGCGGGAGGAGGAGACTGGGGCGCGTGCCCGCTCCCGCGGCCGCGCGCGCCCTTTACCCGCCCTTCCTCCTCCCCCGCCCTTCAGCCTGGGGCCTCCCCGGGGCGGGCAGAGCGAGGAGGAGGAGATTTTTTTTTTTTTTTTTTGCCCGGGGTGGGGGAAGGAGGGCGGAGGGCGGGCGCTTGCTGCACGCGGGAGGCGCGGGCAGTCTCTCGCGTGGGCAGAGGAGGGCGCACGCCGCGGAGCTGGGCTGCAGGGCCTGGAGGAGGGGGTTAGGAGGAAGAGGAGGAACTGCTGGGCCCATTAAGTACTCCCACACCCACCAATTCATTGAGTCTAGTAGGGTCTTGTCAGGGCCTCCTTGCGAGTGTGGATTTATACTTCCCTCCCCTTTGAGAGAGGGGGCTAGGGATAGAAAGACTCTCATCTCTCAGCCTGCTTGAATGGGGGGACTGGTATCTCTTCTTCAGGGTGAGGTGGCTTTGACCCCAGCTTGCCCCGCCAGCACAACCGAGGAGGTGGCTGGACGGCTGGAGAATGAACGGAGAAGCCGATTGCCCCACAGACCTGGAAATGGCCGCCCCCAAAGGCCAAGGTAGGAGTCTCCACCCCCAGCTCTCTGTAACCTAAAGCCGCATCCCACATGGATGTTTGTAAGGCCCACTCGCTTGATAAAGTGTCTTCTCCGGTGTATTCTCTGAATTGAGGTGGGGGGTTATCTTGAATATAAAAGGTAAAAACCCTTTACTCTAGCAGTTTAGCTACATCCAAATTATTTAGTGTCAAGCTTATAAATTGTGTTCTTCACATTTCCCTTCCTTGAGCTGTGCAAGTCTACCTTCTGGGGGGCCCAGCCAGCCTGGAGTGTGTCTCTGCCCAGTGTTCTGGATTGGGAGGAAGGGTGAGGGAGGAACCTGGAGGAACAGGGTAGGGGTGTGTGTGGGAAGGCTTTTCAAGCTTTTTGTTGTTATGAAGATAATGAGGTTTTTGGAGAGGGCCGTAGTGTTTTGGCGGTTTGGGGCCCTCAGCTATGGGAGATCCGTACATGACTAGACCTTGTCCCATCCAGTAGGAATCCACTCTTTATGGGCGGGGGTAGGATGAAGCTGAGCATCTGGCAGTGCCGGTGGGGGTGGAGAGAGGATTATGGGTCCATGTGACCTGCTCTGGGAAACCCTGGCCCAAGTTACCGGATGCAAACGAAAATGAACCCTTTTGACTCCTGGCCTTGGATAGCTGTTCTCCCAGCTCCCTCCCTCCCAGGTAGCCCTCCTCTAGAGAGGGCTCAGAGCCTTTACAAGGGTTACTTTTCAATGGTTGGAAATAGCTGATCCAGGCCCCCTTTTTGCATCTCTGGGGGGTTGAACTGAGAAGACAGCTCAGAATTCTGGGAGTTTTTCCTGCAGCAGGGCTCTGAGGGTTCTTGCCCAGCTGCCTGCCTTCCCTCAGAGCTGCCCTGTATATGGTTTTGCGTCTCCATCCAATTTTCTTCACTTGCCAGAAATTCTACTTTGGTCTGCCTTCAGGGGCTGCAGGGAGGGGGAATGATGGAATACCCATGGCTCTAATATTAGTTTCTAGCTGTGCTGGCCAGATAAACATCTGCATGGCTTTTCCTTATTGCCCACACCCCATTCTCAGTCTTTGCACGCTTAGGGTATCCGCTCAGAACTTAGACTTGAACTTAGCAACATATCTAAATGTGTTGTCTCCCTGCTTCCCTCTCGTCTCTGATAAGCTAGTTGTTTTCCCACAGGACCTCAGATTACTACAGCTCCATTTCCATTCCCCCCTTCACTACAATAAACAGCTGCTTCATGGCAGCCTGGCATCTTAAAAATGATAATTGCTTTGAAGTAAACCATACCTGGGTTCAAGTGTACCTTTCAGGTATGACACTTTCTGGACTGGAATCTAGCCTTAAATAGGGATTCTCCCTACTTCAATCCAACATGGCCATAGTTTTTCTTTAGGGCTGGACCATGTTTTGTCTGTGCCTTCCAGTGGGAGGTAAGCAGGGACTGGGGTGCTCCGGCATGGAAGAGTTGAGCGCTCAGGGACTGGGGAACAGATGCAGGGATAGCACGAGCCAGGTGTGATGGCCTCTTTCACCCCTCACCAGACCGCTGGTCCCAGGAAGACATGCTGACTTTGCTGGAATGTATGAAGAACAACCTTCCATCCAATGACAGCTCTAAGTTCAAAACCACTGAGTCACACATGGACTGGGAAAAAGTAGCGTTTAAAGATTTCTCTGGAGACATGTGCAAGCTCAAATGGGTAGAGATTTCTAATGAGGTAACTGATACCTTTCCTGATGCATGTGTATGTATGTATGCACGTATTTCTACTTCAACCTTCCTTTCTGCTGGGGGAGATGAAGCAGAAGCTGTAAATGAGGAAAGAGACCAGGAGAGAAGCTCATGTGGTCACCTGTTAGCTCTCCGCCTGCCCTTGTGCATTTTGGGGGTGGCACAGTTGGCAGCATTGGCCTAGGGCTCTGAGTTCTTCCACTTTCTGGATGTGTGGCCTTGAATACTTACTGTCTTGGAGCTTCTGTCTCCCAGGCTGGCATCGAAGACCACACCAAGGTCAGGTAGTCACATTGTCACTGTTTTTTTGTGTGCACTTGAGTGCCTGGGCCTCTGCAGTAGGCCTGGGCCAGTGCCTGGTGTCTGGGTTTCAGGAGCTGCATGAGTTGTGTGGCTGTTGGCCTCTGCCCTTCTCCTTGATACATTCAGTGTAGTGGAGAATGGAGGGGACGTGATGGAAAATGAGGGGCATGCTGCTAGATGGTTTTCCCTCTTCTCAACTTCCCATTCTACTCCCCTCCTTCTTCAGGTGAGGAAGTTCCGCACATTGACAGAATTGATCCTCGATGCTCAGGAACATGTTAAAAATCCTTACAAAGGCAAAAAACTCAAGGTGAGTTTCCAGGAGGAAGTGTACAAAGGGGCGAATGGTCCAAAGAGTGATGGTATCTGATCTTCACCACGTGCTTGTCCCTTCTTCCAGAAACACCCAGACTTCCCAAAGAAGCCCCTGACCCCTTATTTTCGTTTCTTCATGGAGAAGCGGGCTAAGTATGCGAAACTCCACCCTGAGATGAGCAACCTGGACCTGACCAAGATTCTGTCCAAGAAATACAAGGAGCTTCCTGAGAAGAAGAAGGTGGGGGGAGGGAAAAGGCTGGGAGCAGCTGGTGGGGGTCAGCATTGGAGGGAGAGATGGGCCTTAGAGTGACTTGGCATTAGGGACGTGGGTGAGTCAGCAGAGCAGAGTACGGTCTTTGGCAGCCGCACCTGATCACCACCCCCAGGCCCAAACATGGTCAAGCTCAGGCACCCCTGGAGACAACCCAGATGGGGCAGACGCTCAGACAAACCCTTGATCCCACAAGCAGTCCTCAGTGTTCTGTTCTTGTGTGGCTCTTCTCCCACACATTTGTCCACACTGATGGGCCCGCCTTGCAGTGGCGTCCTCTCTCATTCTCCCCACCATAGTCTCAACTAACACTTGCAGTATTCTCATAAAGGTAACCCCGGAAAAAGAGGTTATTCCAATTTTATGGGCAAAGAACTGAGTTGCAGGAGGGTTAAGTACCCCAGCTCCCACAACTAAGGGTGGACTTGTGCTTAGCACTCTAGATTCCCTGTCTAGTGCTCTTCCTACAGCTCTCAATGCTGCATACACATGCCAGACGTGCTTCCTCCCCAAGCACACGTGTTCTCCTGGGGACACGTGTTGGCCCCCTGCAGAGGTGGGGTGCTCTCCTGGACTGTTGGGGAACATTAACCTTGGGCAGAGGTTGCCCCACCTTCCCTGGCAGGGGCGGATACGCAGGCCAGCACAGAGGTCAGGTAGGAAAACTGGAGGAGCCCCATAGACAGGACACAGAGTGGGGTGGGGAGAGGGACAGACACAGGAGACAGGAGCAGTGAGGAGGAGCCAGGGAGAGATGTTGGTGAGGGCCCCTGGCAGAGACAAAAAGGTACATTTGCTGGGAGAGGCAACAAAGTTGTACACAGCCAGCTCTACTGCATGCTATTATAGGCTCACACGGCCTTGATTCTGTACCCCCAAAAAGAAAGTGAGTCAGCATGGCCAGGTAAAAACCCTATCTGCAACCACTGCCCGAGCCAGGCAAAAGTATGAATTGCTGGAGCTGTAATTGACCCTTTTAGTGGGGATGTTGAGAGCTAACCGCACCCTTGCCTCCAGACACTCATGGGATGGGAAGGAGAGGCTAAGAGGCAAAGGGTCTGAGAACCAGGGAGGACAGAAGAAACTAAGTGGTAGAGTGGACAGGGTGCTGGCCTGGAGGACATGAGACTTGGGCCTGTTCCCTTGACTCCCGCCAAATTGCTGTGTGTGGCCTTCGGTAAGTCACTTCACTTCTCTGGGACTCATCTATATCTGCAGTGTGGAGGGTAAACCAGATCTGTGTGGCATCTTCCAGGTCTAGAAACTTGCCTGAGGAGACTGAGATTGGGGGCAGCAAAAAGAGAGAAGGCAGGGCTTTGCTCACGGTTTTCTCTGAGAAAAGTGGACCTGTCTCTGTGCCTTGTGCCTCTTCTGTAAGAGGCAGGGGTTGGGCTCGATCACCATGAATCCCTTGGACCGTTCTGCTGCTGACTCTGACTCTGGAAAAAAGGGAGAAAAGACAGATATTGAGTGACAGCCAGGACAGGAGATAGATGAGGAAGGGGGGAGAGAGATTCAAAAGGCAGTAACGGAGGAAGGAGTTCAGAGAGGTAGAAGCAAACATGCAGGGAGAGAGTCAGGTGAGGGGGAGGAGAAGGAAGGGAAGCCAAGTGGCAGAGGAGAATGAGTGGGCTGGAGGAGTGAGGGCTTGAGCCAGACAGCCAGGAGCCTGGAGGAACGGCTGAGGCAGGAGGACGGGATCCAATGCTGGGAAGAGGGAATGGCTGAGGAAGGAGAGAAGGGCTGCTGATACCAGAACCAGGAAGGAACATGGGCAGCCATGGACCCAGAGACTGTGGATGAGGGGAAAAATTCCAAATTCAGGAGACGTGATTAGGATATGATTTGTGTTGCAAGAAGGCATTCTGGGTCCCCTTCAGTGGGCTCCGACCTCATGAAGCAGGGCTCAGGCTGGCCCTGGGGGGGCAGACCAGAATTGGCTACCAGGCAGGCAAGTTGGGCAGGTGAGCAGAGAGGAGAGAGATGGGGAAGGAGTGACATGGGCAAGGCCTACACGTGACTGATGCTGGGGAGAAAGCCGGGGTGCGGATGAGTCCCAGCCCTGCTATTGCTCACTGCGTTACTGGATAATGTCATTTTGCCCTTCCAGATCTCTTTCCCTTTCTTGAAAGGAGGGACTGGGACACAGAATTCGGTATTCCAGAAGGCTCTCTGTAGCTCCTCCTGGAAGGCAGGCCACCACCTCCTGCCCACTCATGTTATATTCCATTTTTCTCTGTTGCTAAGTGGGAAGCAAAAGAACAAGAGAGGAAGGCTTGAGTGGCTTTTGTAGCTGAGGGTGAGGCAGGCCTTGGGTCCTGGATGATCTGGTCCCCTCCTCCCCTCAGATGAAATATATTCAGGACTTCCAGAGGGAGAAACAGGAGTTCGAGCGAAACCTGGCCCGATTCAGGTAAGGCAGTAGAGCCCGGAGGAGGCCCACAGAGTGCTCACTGGGTTTGAAGAATAGACTGACCCCAGCCACAGCCTTGAGTTTGCCATCTTTGAGGCCTGGAGAGTGGACAGGTCGCATGTAGACCCCAGTGGATTGTGCTTTGGGGCAGGGACAGACAGCACTGTCCCACTGAGCCCTTGCTAGAAGGCCTAGGAGCCGTGGTGGGTGGCTGTTGGCTTGGGTCTGCCCTGGAGCACCCCAGCCTGGCCCCCACTGATCGATGCTCCCCATGCCCTGGCTAGGGAGGATCACCCCGACCTAATCCAGAATGCCAAGAAGTCGGACATCCCCGAGAAGCCCAAAACCCCCCAGCAGCTGTGGTATACCCATGAGAAGAAGGTGTACCTCAAAGTGCGGCCAGATGTGAGTGTCCGGCCAAAGGGTGGAGGTGGAGGGCTCACGGCGATGGCAAGGGGGGAGCCGCGCCAGGTCGGCTGGGCACGGTGCAGGGGAGCAGGAGAGGAGCCCCCTCCCCAGGGGTGGGCTGCATGGACAGGGCCTGGGCCAGCTGGCGTGCAAATGTGTGTGTGTATGTGTGCGTGTGTGAGCCTGTCCCCTTGCATCCAGGCGGGACCCCCGCCTCTCCACCTTCCCCTCCTGGCCTGTGGGGGACACTGGTGTGACCTCCTGTGGCCTGAGGGGGCGGGGGCCTCTGTGCCCCCCACCCCCCTCCCCTGCCCCTGGCTGCCTGTGCGTGTCTGACGGCTTTTGGTTTGCAGGCCACTACGAAGGAGGTGAAGGACTCCCTGGGGAAGCAGTGGTCTCAGCTCTCGGACAAAAAGAGGCTGAAATGGATTCATAAGGCCCTGGAGCAGCGGAAGGAGTACGAGGTTAGGCTTCCGCTGCGCTCCTCCCCGTCCGGCTCTTCACGAGCCTTCGCCCTCTGACTCCTGGCCACCGCACTCTGCGGGAGGCAGTCACCCACATCTCTCCATTGAGGGAGGGGCCTTCTGGGCCCCTTGCCTCTGTCCCTACCTTCCCCACTCCCCATGAGATCTCAGGCTAGGGCAGGGCAGGGCACCATGTCTCGTGTGACACAGCAGACACACGGCCACCCCCCAGCTTTGCTCCCTGCCTCCCTTTCCCAGCGGCTCTCCCCCTTCCCCCACCCCAGCTAACCCCACACCCGGTTGCCCTCCATCCCCCCACCTTGCTCTGCAGGAGATTATGCGTGACTATATCCAGAAGCACCCTGAGCTGAACATCAGTGAGGAGGGCATCACCAAGTCCACCCTCACCAAGGCCGAACGCCAGCTCAAAGACAAGTTTGATGGGCGACCCACCAAGCCACCTCCGTGAGCGCCGCCCTGGGGTGGGTGGGTGAGTGGCGGCTAGGGAGCTGGGCCGATGAAAGACCTCAGCCCAGGGCTCTGAAAGAAAAGAGGCCTTCTGCCCTGGACGGACCTGTGGTTTACAGGGATACTCCTCTCCCTGCCCACCCTGATAGGAACAGCTACTCGCTGTACTGCGCAGAGCTGATGGCCAACATGAAGGATGTGCCCAGCACAGAGCGCATGGTGCTATGCAGCCAGCAGTGGAAGCTGCTCTCCCAGAAGGAGAAGGATGCCTACCACAAGAAGTGTGACCAGGTGAGCTGTGGCAGGGACCGCCTGGAGACCCTTGGGCCTTGCCTTGGGTGGGGTTGAAGTATGAGATCTGATCTCAGCTGGGTTAGTCATTGGTCACATGTGCCTTGGGCATCTGCTTTGAACTTGGTGCTGTGCTGAGTTAAGCCTCTGGGCTGATCAAGGCAGACCATTTCAGCCCCTGTTGTACTTAGCATCTATGAAGGGAGACCAGGCTCAGGAGGGCTCTTTGAGGGCTACTGTCCCCCAAGTACTGGAGAGTCTCCAGTGAGGCTGCCCCCAGACTGACCCTGACTCCTTTCACTTTCCCAGAAAAAGAAAGATTATGAGGTGGAGCTGCTCCGTTTTCTAGAGGTGAGTGTTCCTCCAGGTGAGGCAAAGGGGAGAGAGATGACTGGGGATCGGGGGGCAAAGCCTCCAGGACAGCCTGGAGAGACAGAGGGATACAGGGGTCTGGGAGTTAGGCGTGCAGCCTCACACAGCCTCTTCTCTCCTGACCAGAGCCTGCCCGAAGAGGAGCAGCAGCGGGTCCTGGGGGAGGAGAAGATGTTGAACATCAACAAGAAGCAAGCTACAAGCCCGGCCTCCAAGAAGCCCTCCCAGGAAGGGGGCAAGGTGGGCAGGGAGCACAACTAGACAGGAGAGGCAGGGAAGGGCAGGGCTTCCTGTCACACTATGTTGACCCCACCCTTTCTGCACATCTACAGGGTGGCTCGGAGAAACCCAAGCGGCCTGTGTCGGCCATGTTCATTTTTTCTGAGGAGAAGCGGCGGCAGCTGCAGGAGGAACGGCCTGAGCTGTCTGAGAGTGAGCTAACCCGCCTGCTGGCCCGCATGTGGAACGACCTGTCAGAGAAGAAGAAGGTCAGGCTTTTCCCAGAGAGCCCTGGGCACCAGTGCCCCCAGAAAGGCTGCTGGCGCGAGAGTCACTTCTTCTCCACGGGGTTAGCAGCACTTCCTCAACCCTGCCCCCTGTGGGCCACACGTGTACCTGGGCTCAGATGGCAGGGCTTGGAGCCACCAGCTGAGGCTGGTGGCTCCCTGGGGATCAGGGACAGTTGGTGGGGGCTGAGCCCTCTAGAGGCAGGAAACACCTGCACCAGCTCAGGCCTCTGCTTTCCCCACCTCTTCGAGGACTTTCAACTGCTGGATGTGGAACGCACGCCCCCTAGGGGTGGCTAGGAGGCTGACACCCTGTGCCATCCTTCTGCAGGCCAAGTACAAGGCCCGGGAGGCGGCCCTGAAGGCGCAGTCGGAGAGGAAGCCGGTTGGGGAGCGCGAGGAACGGGGCAAGCTACCCGAGTCGCCTAAGAGAGCAGAGGAGATTTGGCAGCAGAGCGTTATCGGCGACTACCTGGCCCGCTTCAAGGTGGCAGGGAGTGGGAAAGGGCTTGTTCTCCTGCAGCCTGCGTACGCAGGCCTCCTCTGGCCCCAGGTGACCCTTCCCACAGCTGACACTCCTGTCTGTCCCCAGAATGACCGGGTGAAGGCCTTGAAGGCCATGGAGATGACCTGGAACAACATGGAAAAGAAAGAGAAGTTGATGTGGATTAAGAAGGCAGCTGAAGACCAAAAGAGATATGAGGTGGGAAAGGCTGCTGGTTAGTGCAGTGGGGTGGCATAGGGCCGGGCCACCCCCTCCGCCTAAAACTCTGGAGCTCTCTTTTGGGTGGGCAGCTCTCCTCATGCTGTGGGATTTGGAGCCAGAAGTCCCAGCCTTGGTTATGTGACTGAACAAACTCTCTTAACTTCCTTGTTTGAGTGTCAGTTTCTCTTCTGTAATTGTGGGGACAGTGCAGACACAAAAGCGCTTTTAACACTTTTAAATTGGAGTGCATGACACGTGAGGTGTTAGGAATTGATCCCTAACTGTGCTTCAGTTTGTCCTTCTTGGCACATAAGGCACTGATGGCTTACGGCAGGAAGCAGAATATTTTAGGGGTGGGGGATTAGCATGACCTTTCTGGGTTTCCTTGCAGAGGGAGCTGAGCGAGATGCGGGCCCCTCCAGCTGCTGCAAACTCTTCCAAGAAGATGAAGTTCCAGGGAGAACCCAAGAAGCCTCCCATGTGAGTCTGGGCTGGGGCTAGGGGTGGGGAGGCGCAAGGCTGGAGGCTGCTTTGTTGGGATCCTAACCTTCCCTGCACCATCCCCACCTCCTAGGAATGGTTACCAGAAGTTCTCCCAGGAGCTGCTGTCCAACGGGGAGCTGAATCACCTGCCACTGAAGGAGCGCATGGTGGAGATCGGCAGCCGCTGGCAGCGCATCTCCCAGAGCCAGAAGGAGCACTACAAGAAGCTGGCTGAGGAGCAGCAGAAGCAGTACAAGGTGCACCTGGATCTCTGGGTAAAGGTAAGAGGGCTCATGAAGAGGGAAGCATCACGCTGGTTGGTCTGCATTCATGATTTTATTCAGCACTCTGGCAGTGCTAAAGATTACCGTCACTCTTTTAAAGATAAGGAAACTATGGTTCGGAGAGGTTAAGTAACTGTACAAGGTCACATAGTTAGTAAGTAAACAGAACTCAAATCAGACTGCCTTTTCTTCCCTCCAGCTGGGACCAGGAGACCTCTCATAGCCCCTGGCTTGGCCCCATCCTCTGAACTTCCTCTCTGAGCCTCAACTGAGCAGTCAGACTTGTAAAGTGGGGAAAGTGATCTGTGACTTGGCCCCTAGGCAGGCTAGCCAAGCACCCAGGGAGATGGCGGGGTTAAGTGTTCTGGAAAGTTGGTGAGCCCTGGACTGCCTTCTCAGTGGCTCAAGGCTTAGAGCAGGAGGTGATGCCAGACTATAGGAGTTGTCGTGAGGGGCCTCTCTGAAGCCTGCATTTGGGTAGAGCAACAGGAGGGGATTCTGGATCATAAGCAGGAAGCAACACTGCAGCTATGTTCTCATGTCCCTGGGGCTCTCTGCAGAGACCCAGGGTATGTGAGCCACCTCAAACATGGGTGGGGTGGATGGGGGTGGGAGTCTTGTCTTATGTAGGTGTGGTATGAAGCGGTGGTTCAGAGCCTGAGCTCTGGAACCAGCCACACCAGGTTCATATCCCCAGTACTTTCACTTCTTAGCTGTGTGATGTAGGCAAGTCACTTGAGGTTTCTGAACCTCCATTTTCTCATCTGTAAAATGAGAGTGACAACTACAGGGTAGTTATAAGGGGTGAATGGTGACATATAAAATGCTCGGCCCGTGGCCTGGCGCTTGGTAAACGTTCTCAGACAGCAGTAGTTTGGGTGGGGTTCCAACCTTCACCTCTTCCTCTGTCTCCCCAGAGCCTGTCTCCCCAGGACCGTGCAGCATACAAAGAGTACATCTCCAATGTGAGTCTGGAGGCAGGGTGGCAGTTGGGTAGGGGCATGGGGCTCAGGCTGGCACTCATGGCGTCCCCCTCTGTCCTCCCCTGCAGAAACGTAAGAGCATGACCAAGCTGCGAGGCCCGAACCCCAAGTCCAGCCGGGCTACCCTGCAGTCCAAGTCGGTAAGGAGCCACCTCCCAGCCCAGGGTAGGGGGTCCTCGAGGCCTAGAATGGCTCAGCAGAGATCACTCCATGGATCTCTGGATCAAATCATGGATCGGCCTCCATCCCTCCCAGGAGTCGGAAGAGGATGACGAGGAGGATGAGGATGACGAGGATGAAGATGAAGAAGAGGAAGATGATGAGAATGGGGATTCCTCAGAAGATGGCGGGGATTCCTCCGAGTCGAGCAGCGAGGATGAGAGCGAGGACGGGGATGAGGTGGGGCAGGCAGGCACGTTGAGGGTGGGGTTGGGTCCTGCAAGGGAGCTACGTGGTGACTGTGCATTCCTTGCCCTGTCCCCCTGCAGAATGAGGAGGATGACGAGGACGAGGATGACGACGAGGATGAGGATGAGGATGAGGACAACGAGTCTGAGGGCAGCAGCTCTAGCTCCTCCTCTTCTGGGGACTCCTCGGACTCTGACTCCAACTGAGGCCTGGCCCCACCCCAGGGCTGCCAGGGAGAGGACAAGCCTCCCGTGAGAGCCCAGGGGCTCCCCTCCCCAGCTGACCACCTCTGTTTCTCCCCCATGTTCTGTCCCCTGCCCCCGGCCTCCTCCACTTTCTTTCTTTTTTTCTTTTTTTTTTTTTTAAAAACAAAATATGGTTGGGGGAGGGGGGCTGGAGGAGCCCAGGCCAGGACTCTGCGGCCTCAGAGACATCAGCCCTGGGGCCTCCAGGGAGAGCAACCATCAGACTGAGCCAGCACGGGACGGCGGCCCACCCCTCTGCAGAGCCCACTGCACTTGCGGTTCTGGCATGGACAATGGACCAGGGAGCGGGGGTGGGGGTCCCAAAGAGTTCAGTGAGGCCCTCCGCACCTGCAGCCCAACCCAAGGCGGGACGGGTGGAAGCTGGGGGAGGACCCCTTCCTTCCCAGAGGCTTGCCGCCCAGACCCCCATATTGGAACTGGAGGCAGGGAACCTGTGGGGAGAGGAGGGCAGGTGCCTTCGAGAAAATAGGCATTGCCCTCATCTCTCTCTCCCCTGCCCCCTGCAGGAAGGAGCTGCCTGAACCCACTCATGGGGGGGGAAGGGCAGAAGTGTTTTTTATATATGTGTATATATTTTTTTTTTTAAGCTCTGAGCTGTCAACGAGACGTTTCCTACCGATCTCGGCTGCCGTCTCTGTTGTCATTTCTGGGAGAGGGAGGGTTTAGGGGGTAGGTTTGGGACTTTTTTAAAAAACGGCCTTGATGCGTGTGGAAGAGTGAGTGTGTATGTACGCGTGGCCTGTACATAGCATGGGTGCGCCTGTGGATGTTTGAGTGCACAGGTGTGTGTGTGTGTGTGTGTGTGTGTGTGAGAGAGAGAGAATGGGGTCTGTCCTGGAGCCCACCTCAGTCTTTGTTGGTGAATCTGGAAAAAAGATTGGTGATGTCGAAGGCCAGGGAGACATTGATCCTGGTGGGAACAGGCTGGGCTGCCCCTTTCTCCACATCCTTTGCTTTGCCTAGTCTCTGATTTGATTTTGGGGGTGTGCTCAAGCCACTCTCTGAAGCTTCCTTACTGGTTTTCCCTCTGCCAGGGCCCCATGAATCTGAGCTGCTGCTGGTCTCTATCCTCCAGTAGGAGGTAGGGAAAGGGACAGATGGTGCGAAACTTAAAAGTGATTCTTGGGTGGAAGAGGCCTCCCCCAGCACATCTGAGGGATCAGTCTGGTCACCCTAGACTCAGAATCTGGGCTTGAAGAATGTGCTGGAAGCTCTTAACTTACACATCCGTCTTGCCTTCCCCATATCCTCAGCTTCCTCCCCCCCATTTCCTTTGATTTCTCAGGTCTTCCCCCTACCCCCAACCCACAGCTGGGAAAGAGGTGTGCAAAAGCTGCTTCTGCAGCTGTCCCTCTCCTTTCCCAGCCATCCCAAAGTTCTTGGTGCCCTGATTCCTTGAATCTTAATAAGCCAAGCCACTTTGTCTCTGTGGGTTTAATTTTTTTGTTTTGACTAAACTTTTTTTTTTAACAACCATGTCAGTGACCTATTTGGGGCTTTTTGCTCCACCCCCCCCCCCCATGAAAGCCAAGGGATGGAGCAAGAGTGGGAACTCTGGGGAGAGTGGGGTGGTGAAGGTGAGGGGCCCAGTTCCCATAGCGGCTGGTAGGTTCCTCTCCCAAGGGTAGCCAGAGACAATCTCTGCTTCATCTCAGAATGTGGTGCTGGGGTAGGGGGCAGCTAAGGAGGGACACTTCCCACTCCCCTTTGTCCTGATCCTGGAATCAGGCACAGGGGTCTGTAGGCTCTATTTCTTCCTGCAAACCCCTCAAGGAACCCAGTTTCCCTGGTTGAATGCCCCTGTGCCGTTGTGCTTTAGTGAAATGTGTTTTCATTTAGAAACAACTTTTAACGGCGCTTTTTTTTTTCCTGTTTTAAAAATTGAAAAATTCTTACAGTACAAACAGGGCTGTGGGGGTGGGGGTGTTGGTGCTGTAAGAGGTCACTCTGAGTGCATTTTGGCACTGGGATGGGATGGCTGGGGTGAGAGGACCCCCCCTCCTCCCTTTTTTTTCTAATATTTAAAGAAGTGTTTTGTAGGTTTCAACAACAACCACAACTTGAATTTGTATCTTGGGAGGTGGGAGGGAGTGGCTTAGAGGTGTCTACCTGAGCTCAAGGCCAACATGGAAGTTTTGTTTCCCCTTTTTTGTACAATAAAGTGAAAAACAAAAGGTTTGGCTGCTGCCTGGTCACTGGGATGAATGAGGGTGAGGGACAGGTGTGACCAACAGATGTGACATGGAAAGGCTCTTGAAGCCAGCTTGTTTGCCTTCTCTTTAGAACCATCTTTCCCTTGGGTTAAGTCTTCTTTCCTGAAGACTCCATAGGCAACGTACCTTCAGAAAGTTATGTGCTACTGTTCTTGCACTTTTTCAATTTAGTGTGTTCACCTTGGATTATCAGACTACTAAGGATTCTGAGAAGTTGGAGAACAAATATATTCTTTTCCCCAGGGTGCGTTGCCTTGGGAAGTCGGGAGTGTAGGGCTTATCGTGGTGGGGGCGGGGGGGGCGGGTGAGTTGGGGTTATCCTTCCAACCTTGATCCTTCAGCTCCACCCTAGATTAGGAATGACTCCTAACTCCACCCAGGCCTCTGATGGGAAGCAGGCTGGGCTGGGATGACTTGCTCTCTGCGGTTAAAGCCTTCCCTGCACAGACCTTGGCTGGGTTCCTGGAATCACCAAGGGCTAAAGACCCAGGCCCTGTCCAAGAGCTCAGGCCTCTCCTATCCTTGGCGAAATTTAGGAAGAGCTCCTTGCTCCTCAGAGTCACCTATTTCCTCACTTTCCACTCATCTAAAGCTTTCTAAGCTCACCAACATGTTCAGCGTTACATCCAGTGGACACTGTCTCTTGCCTTTCTTGCCTTCTTGGTCTGTTCTGCTGTTGTTGGCTCCTCCTTCTATCCTAGGTGTTCCTGTCTCTCCCGGAACCTCTGATTATCACCCCTACACAACCACTCCAGTGGTGGTATCTACAGAAGCTATTATTCTAAGCTCCAGACCTGTGTAGACACCTGTGTATCCTCTGGGATATCTTGCAGGTACTTCATATCCCAAAACCCAAGCTGATCACCAGCCATCTATCTAGTCATTCAACCTAAAAACCAGGGTGTCAGCCTTAATTCCTCTCTCTCTCCCTCACCTCCACATCTAATTGATCACCTATACTTATCCATTCTACTTCCTAAATCTCTCAAATTTATCCATCCTTTTCCACTGCTCCCATCCCCACCCTATTCAAAGTCACCATCATCGCTCAACTTGTGCAAAGGCGTCCTAAAACTGGTCTTCCTGCTTGCGCTCTTGCCCCCTACAGTTCATTCTGTACACAGCAGCCAAAGTAGTTTTTTAAAAAAAAACATATTTGAATATTTTACTCCTGTTCTTCAAACCATTCCCATTATACTTAGAATCAAAATTGTAAAGTCTTACCATGACCCTACAAGGCCAGGCCCCTCCCCTGTTCCTTTCTCCCACTCTCTCTCACTCCACTATTCCCCATCACTCACAATGATCCAGCTATGTGATCACTTTTCTGTTCCTCAAACATGACTACCACAGGGCTTTTGCACTTGATGATCTCTGCCCACAATGCTATTTTCCTGACTCTTCACAGAGCTGGTTTTCTCATCCTTCAGGCCTCAGCTCAAATGTCACCAGTACAGAGAACTTTCTCTAGAGACCTCCCCCTACATCTCAATACTTACATATTTGTTTACTTGTTTATTGGCTATCTCCCTTACCAGCTTGTTCATTACAGTAATTCCAGCACCTAAAATTGGCATACAGTAGTCACCCAAGAAATATTTGTTGAAGGAGTGAATAAATATGGCCCACAAGGCCCTGGATGATCTGCTGCCCCTACTGGCCTCTCTGCCCCAACTCCAGCCACACCAGCTTTCCATGCCTCAGACCCAACACACTCTCTTCCAGTGCCAGCATACATGCTGTTCCCTTTGCCTGGAATGTTCTTCACCTCTCTGCTTGATTAATTCAGGGCTCCACTTCTTCACATGTTATCAGGAAGGGCCAGTCCCTGGAGAAGGATATCAGGCTTGGTAAAGTAGAGGGTCAGCAAAAAAGAGAAAGATTCTCAAAGAGATGGATTGACACAGTGGCTGCAACAATGGGCTTAAACATAGCAGTAACTGCGAGGATAGTGCAGGATCGAGCAGTGTTTCGTTCTACTGTACATAAGGCACACAGGTCACCTAACCACAACAACAAAAACAACTTATTCAGGGGGACCTTCCCTGACTCCCTAACTAAAAAGTTCTCCATGGCATGTGTCTCCTTAGCAGCCCGGATGCCTTCACACTCAGATTTGTTTGTTCTATGTCAGGCTTTGCTGAGCTGTAAGCTCTACTAGGATTAGATCTGTGTGTCTCTCTTGCTTGTGCTATAACCCCAAAGTCTCACCCAGAGCCAGATGCAAGATGCACAGCTCAGTCCTTAGTGTTTATTGACTGATGCTAACAGTGAAGACCAGGCATGTGCCCAAAAAGGTCACCATCACGGAGCAGTGCAGGCCAAGGGCAGAATGAATAATACAGTCCAGTTATAGAGAAGTTTGGTGTGAGGATGACCACAAGTGGGGATGTGAGAAAGGACGAGGAACCAGGGAGGCTTCCTGGGCAGGTGCATATTCCTTAGGACAGGACATAGGGGACACATTTAGGGATGAAGAAACAGAGCAGCATCACTGGAGTGGAGAATTCCTGAAAGGGAGGGTGGGAGATACAACTAGAAAGGTAAGCTGAGGCCACGCTATGGAGGTTCCCGAAGGCCTGACTGTACTCCTTTGCACCAGACCCAAGTTCACCCACCTTCTGAGATTCTCCACTAGCTGATCCCACAGTAACCCAACATATCCCAAATTGAACTTGTCATCCCTCCGTGCCCTAGTATCTCCTCCTTGGAATTCCACATCCTGGCTAAAAGAGTTTTTTGGGCCTCCCTGTACTTTACCCCATACACCTCAATCACCCTATTGCTTCTAAGCTATTCTCCATAACCACAGCCAGAGTGATATACTTAAAATGAAAATTTGGTCAAATGCCATTGGGACTAAAGCCCACAAACTCCTCAGCACACTCCAAGTCTTGTGTGATCTGGCCTGCGCACCTCCCACTGCTCCCCCACCCACTCCAATGTTCCAGCCAGTCCCCAACCTGATCCATACTTTTGAAGCTTGCTATTTGGAATGCCTAGTGTCTTCTTAGGAGCCCTAGTAGTGCAGTGGTTAAGCGCTCGGCTGCTAATCGAAAGGTCAGCAGTTCAAATCCACCAGCTGCTCTGCGGGAGAAAGATGTGGTGGTCTGTTTCTGTAAAGATTTACATCCTTGGAAACTCTATGGGGCAGTTCTACTCTGTCCTATAGGGTCGCTATAGGTCGGAATCAACTTGACAGCAACATGTTTGGTTTGGTTTTAGCGTCTTCTTAAGGAGCCCTGGTGGTGCAGTGGTTAAGAGCTCGGCTGTTAACCAAAAGGTTGGCAGTCTGAATCCACCAGCTGCTCCATGGAAGTCCTATGGGGCAGTTCTCTGTCCTATGGGGTCACTATGAGCCAGAATCGACTCGACAGCACACAAGTGCCTTCTTGGCTTGCCTTCAACTGTTTCAATGAGCCAGCTCAATCATCTCCCCAGCTCAATCATCTTGCCTTCCCTGACCAACTCTACTCTTACATCACTCCCTCTCTTCTCCTAGCCACTTCTGTATCCTATGTGTATCTCTCTTGCTTTTATCATACCGCTTTGCAACTATTTTCCTAGGTCTATCTACCTCCAAGATTGTGAACTTCTTGATGAAATACAAATGTCTTATTTCATCTTTGTATCCCAGCACCTGGAGCACAGTAATAATAACAGCTAAGATTTACTGAGCACTTACACTGAGCTGGAGCCCTGGTAGAGCAGTGGTTAAGAGTTTGGCTGCTAACCAAAAGGTCAGCTGCTCCGTGGAGACCCTATGGGGCAGTCCTAGTCTGTCCTGTAGGTTCTCTCTGTGAGTCGGAATCAACTCGACGGCAACGGATTTTATACTCAGCTAGGAATTTCACATGTACGACTTTAATCCTCACAACAACCTAACGAGACAGGTACTAGCGACTGTCCTCACACCCACTGACAAAGGCGGAAGGTGAGGCACACAGAACTGCCCAAGTCCACATACTTAAGGCAGATTTAAATTCAGATCTGACTCCTGGTCTTAACTATCTTGGAATAAATATTTGTTTAAGACTAAAGAGCCGATGATGCTCCCAAATTATGTGACTTTAAAGACTTTCTTCCCTTAATCTTATCTCCCCAGGAGAGAGGACTGTCACACACCAGCTCCAGCCACAGAGTAATCGAGATGGAAGCGCCAGCCTAGACATCTACTGCGGCTGGGAAGGTCCTTTCCTCCAGGAGGTAAAGGGGGACTGAGACGCGCGCGGAGAGCGGACTTGGACACACCCAGGGGCGTAGCACTGGGTTGGAGGATTGGTCTGGCCAGTGCCAGGCCGAATGAGAGGTGGGGGGTCCCGCGTGGGTTCCGGAAGCAGGAAAGGCGAGCAGGTGTAGGATCTAAATTAGGATAAGGGTGGGGAGGGCGCTCCGGTCAGAAGGGCTCAGCTCGGCCTCCGCCCTCCGCAGAAGACCCTGATCTCGGGCGCTTGTAGATTCGCTGGCCTGGGGTGGGCTGAGACTGGCCCAGAAACAGGGAGAGCGGAGGCTCAGACGACTCCCCTTCGGCCCCATGGGTTTTCTGCCCTGAAGCTCTAACTGCGTCCCACTTTAACTCCGGCCCCTTCACAGAAGTGGCTTCACACCTCCGAGTAAACGCCGGTGAGAGGAAAGGGCCGGGATCCCCGAGGAAAGGGCGGGGGAGATTGGGCCGGAAGGCGTCCCAGGCTCGGCTGGGAGCCGGCGCTCTCTTTCGACGCCACCCGCTGCCCCCGCCCCCGAGCCGGCCGGGACGGCACAACGACTCCGCCTCCAGCGCACCGCGCACCTCACCTTGAACGCCGCTCCACCCACTGCCATCCTATTGGGCTGCCCGGGCCGACGCGACACGGCGATTGGCGGGGTAGCCCGCGAAGACCCCGCCCAGCTCCCCGCCCCCTCCCCATCTGCCGGTACTTTGGACGGCGGCGTGGCGCCCCTCCTCCCAGCCCGGTCCCCGCCCCCTG